AGGCTCCATTGACTATAAATATACCTAATGGCCAAACTTCTAGAACTGGTATGGATAATTCATTCCATGGTACTTCTATGCACGGGACAAATATTACAGTCCCAGTTGCAGTGCAAAAACAACCATTGGCAACTGTGGCGGCTGCTGAGGGATTGGATACCCATGGACTAGCTTGTATCAACTTGCCTCCTCGACGAAAGCGTAAACCATGGTCAGCAGCAGAAGACATGGAACTCATTGCTGCGGTCCAAAAATGCGGTGAAGGAAACTGGGCAAACATATTGAAAGGGGACTTTAAGGGAGACAGAACAGCTTCACAACTCTCTCAGGTTTTTCTTTGTATATGATGAATATATCTATCTTTATCAAAATACTGACTATATCTATATATATTCTCCAGTTTTAATTACTCTCTCTAGTTAGTAAATGCTTTTAACCTTGTCCTTCTTAAATTTTAGCACAACACATGGCGCTAGTTAGCACCGTAGGTAGAAATAATAACATCGTAGTTGAATTGCGTTCTTCTTTTTTGCTTTTGGTGTAAATCTGAATATTTATATATATAAGACCCTGAGTCAATTGTAGATGCTCTAGATTCCTTGTTAGAGGAGCAAGGAGGGTAGATTTCATAGCTTTCCTCCTGATGTAACACCTAATTTTGGACCAGCACAATCTTTAGGCTGATGTTTTATATTAATATACAGAAACTGATACCTTCTCAAAAATAATTGTTAGAGAAGGTAGTCATCTTTCATTGCTTAGATTAATCCTTGTCTTGGAGTTAAAAGAATGTTAATTTTTTCGGGTCCCTTGTGGTTCGCAGCTCACTAAATTGATCTCATCCAAAATTCTAACCCCTCTATTTGCTCCAAAGAGTAAAAACCAAGAAAATAGGTCATTCTCCAGCTCAGTTAATTGATTAGTTATAGATTTGCATGTTAGTAGAAAAGACACCTATATTTCGTGAATCATTCTAGCTATATAGCTAGAGTTTGCTTCAGTATGAACCTAATGATAGAGAGACAGAAGAAAGATCTTATCAGATTGAGAAAATAGAGCTGTTTCTAGTGCTTCACAAATGATAGGAAAACTGGGAAGGAAATAAAAAGAAATAAAATTAAATGAAAGTTGGGTGGAATACCCCTTTCTCTGTCAAATGGTAAGATGGTAGTAAGGAACATAGAGACGTCTCGCGTGCGGATTTTCCTCAATCTTGAACAGTTGGTGTGTTTACCTCAATCTTGAATTAGGCAACAACCAATTCATGTCTTGCAATATCCAAAATTTAACAGTTTGGGAATATATTGTTCCTCCACTCAGACTGACTTCCATGATTCAAGCGTTAGGTTCTGATTATTTAAAAAATGGCAAGGTATGATGCCATGTCCTTTTGGCAGTTGTACGATGCATTTAGTAGTACAAGTAGCATGCCCAAGGTGCATTCCTTTGGATGATATTACCTATTTTAAGGAAGAGGGGATGCCGTACTTGACAAAATAACAGTCCAATTATTTAGGATCACTATTTGTCGATAAACCTCGATTGTGATGTAGCAGTTATCCTCTGATCTATGTGGTGTGAGGTTATGGACCAATTTTAAGAACTTTTTGTGTCAGTTTTATGGTATAAATTAAAAACTTTATACTTCTGATGTAGGATTATTACATTCCTTGGAGGATAACTTTTCCTCCCGTTAACCCCTCAATATCTAATGAAACTTCTTACTGAATCCCTGCTACTAGTTTGGACCAAATATTAATTCAATCATTTTAGATCACTGTTTCTCGGTAGACCCCAATTGTGATGGAGCAATTATCCTCTCATCTATGTGGTATGAGTTTATCAGCCAATTTCAAGAAATTTCTGTTTTCAGTTATATGGTATAAATGGAAACTTTATACTTGTTCTGATGTAGCACTGTACATTCCTTAGAGATAACTTCCCTTCCATTCTTCGCCTCATTTAGGTAATGCTTGCACCAAATCATGCATCTCAACAAGAACTAACCAAGTATTTGCCTTTCCTTTTGATAAAATTACATTAATTCTCATGCCCCTGTTTTCAAGAGGACAACAATAAACAATAATGTAGCAAGTAGAATTTTATATTAATAAAAGAACCCACCAAAAGAGAATGTTTTTATTACGAATAGGAAATTATAACTCTAGTATTAGAAAGCTAGTCATCAAATCTGAAATCAATGCTAAAACTACATCTTTGCATCTGAATAAAAAATTTAATGTGGTTTCACTGCCTAATTGACACGACTCATTTTACATAATTTCACTTAATTGTAGTTTTTTCCAATTCTTTTATCTATATAATTGTTTTCTTGTGTGTATGATTATTTTTTCTTGCATTACACACACGCGCAAGCCCGTGCATGCACACACGTATAAACTTTTCATCATCTGCAGTATTATTATCTAAAAGGTGTGCTTTAATTGCGTTTTACGCTTAAAGTGCAAATGGAATTTGGCGCTTTTGGCAGTTTTTTACCGTTGACAATACCGGTGAGACCTTTAGTTGCAAGCTCTATCCTCCCAAAGTGTTAACAAGTTTTGGTATGCAATCATTTATTGACAATTTTGGTGACATAGATGTAAATGGTAAATGGAGTAAACTTAGTGGTGAAGTCATATCTAAGTATTGTTTCTGTCTTCATTTACATATAAATATTGATTCTTTAACTTCAACCCAGCATTTTGGTTGTACTAAAGATAATCCTCCTAGTGATATCTATGTCAAACAAATAGTTGGAGATAGAGTGATAGACCATGGATGTCCGTTGTTATCTAGTATGGTTAGGATGTCTGGGTTATTCCCAGGTTTCCCGGGTTCGAATCCCGGCAACGGAATGAGATGCAGAAGTGTGTATTGGTTTAGCTAGCATGGACTGGACGTAAAAAAAGTAAATAGGAGAAGTTGTAAATACTGTGTCTGTTGTCAACTATCATTTTGCATTTTAAATTTACCATGAGATTATGAATGTTTTTTTTTGTGCAGAGGTGGGCCATTATTAGAAAACGGCAGGGAACCATTGTCGGGAATGGCTCACAGCTTTCAGAGGCTCAGCTGGCAGCTCGTCGCGCAATGTCCCTAGCTCTTAATATGCCTATGGGAGATAACTTGAAAGCAGCTTGTCCAATCAGCGCTGGCGGTAATCCTCTCAACTCCTATATGATGTTAATGTATCTGTTCCCACACTCCTGATGGGAGAAGGAAAAGGTTGAGGGTGAGGGGGAGGATAGTTATTGTTGAGATACTGTCTAGAACTCTACATTGGGTGTGTCAGATGGCTGAGAGTATCCTGTGATAATCTGAATGTATGTTGTCATTTACAGTATCTGCAGTATGTCTGCAAAGGGGTAATTAATTATTCAACTGTTCAATGTTTTTTCTCGTGGAACTGCTCAACGTTCAATAGTTAAGAAGTTTCAGTTGTTCAAGAGTCTTTAGAAGGTCTGAGTCCTATATTCCAATTAATATTGACGGCATGCAAAATACATATAAAAATTATTGCACGCTGATCTAGGAAAAGCAAAATTCCACAGTGGATTAGGAGCAATTTCTCTTTTCAGCATGACTGAGTTATTTGAATGGGTGGAGAAAACATGGGAACTCTTCCCTTCTTAACCTTGTATATCAGAGGTTAATGCCATTCTTGCATACTGCAGTTTTAACCCAGGTTTTTGTGTTGTTTCAGTGGGGCAAAATTCAGGCGCTGGACCTAGTAACTCTTCACATTCTGTTGCTGCTGACTTTGCATCTGGTGGTGCACAATCCCAGCATCAGCAAGATCCGTTGTCGTCAAAACCTCGGATAGTCCCAAAAAAGCCATTGCCAAAACCTAATACGAGTCCTGATTCAATGGTCAAAGTTGCTGCTGTGGCTGCAGGTGCCCGCGTTGCTACCACTTCAAATGGTGCCTCATTGCTCAAGACAGTACAATCTAAATCTGCCGTCCAAATACCTAGAGGAGGTCCTGCAGTCAAATCTCATGTCCCAGTTAGTACAAATGGCTTGCCCAGTAATGTGCACTTTATTTGTACCGGCCTGGTGTCCCATTCCACAGGCCCATCAAATGCCTCACGGCCTGAAACTCTGCAGGTGCTGGGCCACTCTTTGAAACCTGTATCATCGGCTGTTCAACCTAGCCCTGCTGGTACTTCATCCAGACCAAATGCTTCAGCTGCACCTGATGCCCCAACATGTGCTCCAGCTGCTGAGCTTGAAGAAAATACTAAGCAAAAGCTTCTCCAAAAAAGTCAAACTACCACTCTGTCTAATGCACAAAGTGAGAAACAAGTAGGAGTTGTAGGTGCTTCTGGTGATAAGGCACTACCACCACAAGTCCAACAAGATAAACTTCCTGCATCAAGCAACCCGTTCATAGAGAAAGCTGAAGATCAAACCTCATCGTTCGGTGATGAAGTAAAGGAGGATAGACAAGATGATCAAGATTCTGTTCCAGGCATTCATGTTCAAGAAAAGTTAATAAATGATACAACTAATCCTAGTAAAGCACTAGCTAGAACTGAGAATGGGAGTACTAATGGTAGTGATCTCAATAAGGCACCAACTAGAAATCAGAATGGAAGAGAATGAAATGGAGTGACTGGGTTGGACCAACTATGCATGTAAAGTTAAATGCATGTTAATTCTTATCTTCCTTTTTGGTAGTTTTGCCTTCTTCCTTCTTTAATGTAAATGTGTAGGTTTCTTGCAAAGCGTTGTCTATACTTGGGTGACAAATTACAATTCCTTGATATTCCCTCGTTAATTATTGAATATCTCCATGTGTTATTATTTCGTTATCTTGAGATCTCTTTTGCAGGTCGTGCAATCTACATTAAAGAGACTACGACACTTAAATTCCTTGTTGTTGCCCTGGAAGCAACTACATAGTCTTAAATATATAAGTGCAAATGTTGATTGCAAGGAGTTAGAGAGCAAGGGGTGACAAAGATTAGTAACATTTATCAGCAGAAGCTAATTTCTTACTAATAACATTTGAACTTCCCATTTATTTCAGTCAGAAATAATTTACAACCGGATGAAACTGCATATTTCACAATGACAACATACTTGCTAATAACATCAAAAGTATCCAATTATTTTCTCAGGCAGAAAGAGATATTGACAACTGGATGAACCTATTCACAGATATATTTACATCAAAGAATATTACAAGCATAATCACAACTTAGCTTTCCCTCCATTTTTTCTTAGTTTTCTCCAATTGTTTTTCTTTAACCATCATTCTTCTCTTCTCCTTCCAACCAGTTTCAAATCACGAATTTACACCAATCGGAGGAGGCAAGTAGAGGTTACTTCTTCCGAACTAATTCTGAAAATCAGAGACACAAGGTACGGTATGATCATTGAATCCACTGCAACAAAGAATCTGGAGGGGCAGCAGAAAAGAAATCGAATAAACTCAGCCATTGCAGTATGTCAGCTGTACTGCAAAGATGAGAGCCACTGCTCCGTATACTTCTTATTCTCTGCATGTAAAAAATGAAATCAATAAGCATAAAGTATGGAGAACACAAAATTAACAACTGAGCCAGCAACTATACCACTATTTAATTCTATAGACACTTGTTTTTGGTTTACCCCACGTCTAAATCGATGCATCATTCAAAAAGTGAAAAATGTCAAAAATAGGAAGGAAATAAGAGAGTTGAAATCGTAATGCTCGACCAGAAAAATGGTTACATTTCAGAAGAGCAAAGATTTCAGATTGACAGTCCTGTAATGGCTAATGAACAGAGTTGCACAAAAATTTGAAGTCTTCTGATGCCAAGAAAGTTATGATATGTACATCTCAACCAGTAAACAGAACCCCTTTTATCCTATAACTGGATTGTCAACGATGACATAGACTCCACTAACTGAATATGGTACTAAATACTTCTCAACTGATCAAGCCGTGTGGGACAAAGGAAAAAATCTAACTTTTAATTCCAAAACGGAAATAAAAAGGGGCAAGATCAGAGTTGTGTAGAACACAAGATACGATGCTAGATATGAGTCACACTAATGTATAACAGGTTATCAATGAGAAATTCATTCTGGAGGTGTGCTGCATTAATGACTTAACATTACTCGTTAATAATCATCATCGACCCTTAAACAATTCACCACCAATCCTTGCCCTTCCCTCTGGAAAAGACAAAGGGAGAAAAGAATCTTGAACTCATTCTAATTTCTCTAGATTACAGCACCTATAGGAAATGAAAAAAAAAACATTCAATAATATAAAGAAGGCCAACCAAAGCAACCTCATTCAGTCACCACATTACATGAAAGGAAGCTTTCAGCAATCTTAACATTCGGAGCTTGCACTAGATCTGCTAGTTATACTTTCCACACATTAACAAAGCGGAAATGAAGCAAAAAGCAGGAAGCTCAATTCACCAATTTCTAAGCATGAAACAAAATGTTGACTCTCGATTCAAGTCCTTCCTTGTCCTTGTGTGATAGAATTTAGTTATAGCAAGGGGAAGTCGACAGAACCTTCAAAAGGTAATGGTTCGTGTTTTATCTTGTTTTTGCCCAAGCAGCCACTAGTTTCAATATCAATGTATATGTTTCTCATAGAATTACTTAGTAAGCCATTAGCAGCTAGCAGCATATTATCAAGTGGAGAGAAGTCTTTATGTCAGGAGTTTCATATACTTTTAAGTACGTGTTATCTGTCTGAGACGAATATAAATTTAACTATCTGAAACGAAAAATATATAATTGGTTCTGTCGCACCAAAGAGAAACTAACAAAAGTAGAAGTTGTATTTCCAAATAAAAACAGAATATTCCAAGAAACTGACTCTTACCAGAAGCATGTATATCCTTGAAGTTTCCAATGCCCTGCAGAAACTTGTCTTGTGCATTATCTTCCATGTTTGCGCGTCCACGTCCATAGCAAGGAACAAGCACAGCAAAACTATCATCTCTATTTTCATCACTGTGGAACTCCGGGCCATGAGGCTCCAACCATCCAATGGACCAGTCTGAATCATCAGACTCGGACCCTGATACACATCCACCGTCCGATGGCACAAGAACAATATCATACTCCCTATCAATCTTGCGCTCCTCTCGACTCTGCCATTTTCTCTTAACCCTTCCAGATGAGGAGGCAATATTCCGAGGGAATGTCAAAGTATCCAATTCCAACANCCGTCCGATGGCACAAGAACAATATCATACTCCCTATCAATCTTGCGCTCCTCTCGACTCTGCCATTTTCTCTTAACCCTTCCAGATGAGGAGGCAATATTCCGAGGGAATGTCAAAGTATCCAATTCAAATAACCCTGAATCAGATAATGAATTTAAACAAGTCCCTTTCGAGATTTTTGGTTCTTGATGCTTTCCACTCCAAAGCCACCAGGACAAAGGGGTAAATGCCAAGGCCATATCTGACTAAATCAAGAAATTTCTTGAACCCAAAATAGAAATCAAATTCTGAGACTGAGTTTTTGAACAAAACTGCTGGCAGATACAATGAATCAGGATTATGACAATTGAAGGTACTAAATGTGTTATTTGTTCCTGTTCCAAAGAAATTCAGCTAGTTAGAAGATGATACAAACAGTATTAACACAGCATGTTATACAATTGAATGACCAGCAACAAATTGATTTTTCTTTTTAAGTTCATCAATTTTCAATACAGCAATAACAATAATAAAGACATGGAACACAAATAAAGTGACATCTTCGTCCATTCATTATGACCCATAATGTTGCCATCTTTGTGATAGAAGATGGTTATATCACCATTTTTTTTTTATTTCTAAAAACAATTTAAGAAAATTCAAGCTCTTCCCTTTTTCCTCCTTTACTTTTTCTACTTTCCCATAGCAATAAATCAGTAACTATAATCAGCTTGTAGCAAAGGTTTATAAGAAATTATAATATACCCCCTAGAAATAGGTCCTGATAGCAAATTAGAACCAGATATTCTGACCCTATTAATTAGCTCAAATTTTTATTGAAATTTAGCTCAATTTTCAGATATTGTACAAAGTGGTGTTTCACAAAAATAAGAATTAAAATTCCAATTTCAGCCAGTCAAACAAAAACCACCAAATATAAAGGAAGTACAATGGAAAAAAACCACAAAAAGAAAAAATCAAGAATCCCAGTAAAGATCATAGCTTTGCAATTAGCTGTGCTAAAACTCGTCATAAATAAACAAACAAAAATCTTTAAAAGATTCAAACTTTGGATGCTAATAAATCAAACCACAAAGAAAGCGACTTTAATCAGAAATCCAGTACAACTTCTCAAAAAGAAAAAGAAAATCATAGCTTTAGGATTAGCTAAAACTCTTCATAAATTAACAAAATAATATCTTTTAAAAAATGAAAAAAACAACTTTTTGAGATTTCCAACATGGGTATCTCATAAAGAACCTTAAATATTCCTTCTCTATCAAACTTCATAAGTCGATCAAAAGGTTCAGTTGCAGAAAATATTGAAATACTTGGCCAATATGTATACCTGCTTAGCCTGAATTTACATGTAATTGTAAAAGGGGTATTTTTTTTGTTTTTTGTTTTATATGGAAAAGGGGTCTTTTTTCTTTTCAATTTGAAGAAAAAAATTAGAGAGAAAAAGAAATTGGAAATAGACAGTTTTCTTGAACGTTTGTGATAGTTTCCTTCAAGTATTCAACTACCAAACCTGAAGCTGAGTCTATTTAAAACACAGCTTAAGTTCTAAATTTAGAAAGGGCAATTATTGTCTGGTTTAAGGTACAGGTGAAGATGGTGGAACTGATTTTTTATTGATCAGGAATGAGGGTACAATTGTCTTTGTGGAATTATTTGAGGGTAGTTTTGGAATTTGGAAAAAGTATGTATTGATTGGATATGAATATGATTGGTGAGCAAGCAACTGAAGAAAGATAAGTCAAATTAAAAGAAAAGTGCTGCCAGGTCATATGATGTGCCAGGTGGCAGTGGGACCAGGACCAATGATAACGTTGTTTGTCAATTTCTTGTGTGTGTGTGGTTCAAGTAATTTGGCCACTAGTTGGATTGAACAGTAGGCCTCTAATGTCTTAGTTGTGCCAAGAAAATAAAAATAATTCGTCTGTTTGTAAAAAAACAAAATGAATAAATTCGGAGTATAAAGATTAAATTTCCTATTGTTTTTCTTTACTTGGACATAGATTTTTTTTTTTGAAAATCAAATTTATATAAATAAAAATATTATAAGTTACAAATTTTAATAATAAAAAGTAATTTTATATACAAAAGTTTTGGTAAGTGGCTCTAATGTTGCTGGAAAATGGGTAAGGTAAATCTAGTTAAGGACAACACGAGTTACTTGAGTACAAATCAAACTACAAGCCTAAGTTGTTGGCCACATCCACACCTTTTGAAAATGCCTCCATGTTTGCCTCTCAAAAAGAAATGTATCCAGTTGTTAGCAGAGGTATGTAGTGAACAACTAACGGGTTCAACTGAACCCATAACTTTCGATGCGGTATAAAATTTATATGTAAAAATTTATTAAAATTGCAAAAATAATGGATATGAACCCATAACCTTAAAAATATAATGAGTTCAATGCTAAAAACCTTAAAAGTTGAACTCATATGATTTAAATCCTGGATCCGCCTCTAATTGTTAGACTGGTGAAAGCATATAATGGACAAAGACAATTCTATCAAGATATTTTGAGAATTAGTACAATCAGGTTTACATTTATGACTTTCTGTGTTACCACCTTTGATTAGGGTTAACCTCCAAAAGACAATAGAGCAATGATACGTAGGAGAGTCCAGAACCAGCCAAAAAAAAAAGAAACAAAAAAGAACCAAATTAATGCGGAAAAAAAAAAAGAATTAAACTACATATAGTACATGTATACTATGTGCTATATATGAGTATGAGCTAACGTCCCACATTAACGACCGTTTTCATTTTATTTATTTTTTGTGGTAAAAATACATAATGCATGGTAACATGCGCAATGCGCGCCAAATATATTTAATTTTCTAAATGAGAAATAAAATGTTGGTTGATGCATTGGTTAAGGGCAAGTGGAATGGTGGCCATAACTTTGTGTCGTGAGCTCGATTCTAGCCTTCCACAACTTAACCGATGCACCAACTATGCACTTTGTTGCATAGTGTATGTTTATCATGCGCTATATGTATTGTTACCACAAAAAAAAAAATCAATACGCGAGGAGGTTAGCTCAGACCCATGTATAGCGCATGCATACTATGCCTTATATGTAGTTTGCTTTTTATCTTTTTCTTACACATTAGTATGGTTCTTTATGTTTTTTTTTTGCATCATTTTGGTTCCAGACTCATGTAGGGATTCGTTAGCTTTTCTTTTATAAAAAGTTGTAATCCCCTATTCTAAATCTCCTCCTCCCTTAAAAAAAAGGAGAAATAGTTGAATTTTTGTCTTCATTCCTAGAACTGAAATCTCTTGGTGAGAAATCCTATTAGTTATTTAGTTGGAAAGAATTCGACCATGATAAAAAAGGCAGATGAGAATGTAAATTAGGCCACCTATTTGACTTCGTAAAATCTTTAATTTTCTTAGACAACATTGTACCTTTTTCACATGTTTAAAAAGGAGAAAATTAGTTAATAATAAAAGAAAGAGGGCGGAAAGAGAGACTGTATATTTATTTTAATTAATTAAACCTTTCATACCAAATCTTACCGTAAAAAATAGTCTACCCTTGATATTCATTGTATCTTTGCCAGAATTCTATCTCACCTTACTCTTTCCAGGAAAATTACTTGTGATTGGAATTGACTCTCGTATTACAAATAGCAAATTAAATAACAAGAAAATTAAAGAATATGATGCCAAACGTCATTCCAAATATAAATGGATGTGTTTCAAAATTATTTGCGGCTTGGTGGGGTTCAATATTTCATTTCAATTTCATTAGCTAGGACTAGGACAAGAGCATGATAAGGACAAAAGGGCAAAAGGGTATGAAAGATCCACTAAAATTGGACCCCCTATATTTTTTCAAAGACTTTTGTTTTCATTTAGGCATCCGACATTCTAAATTCTTTGGCCCCATTAATAAGAATTTATGTCAAATAAATCCACTAAAGAGGGATAATATTTTTACCAAAGAAGGTTTTTATTTTAAAAAATCAAATGCGAGATTACATATTAAAAATTGATTGATCGAATTAATTTAAATTCAAGAGTTAAGCGTCCTAACTCTTTCAACACATTCTTCGGTAGTTAAAAAGTAAACTTGCGCTTCAATCATTCATATGACTAATTGACATATTTTGTCGGATTTCCTCCCAAAGGGTGCACATGGCAATTCTTGGTTTGATGGTGACAAAACAACAAATACTAAACCAATTTATTTAGCACCGCCTACTGGTTTGATTGGAATTAATTAGCATTATGACTTCTTTAATAGCTTTTCAAATTGTGGCCTAGAATCCTTCTGGAATTTCAAGGCAAGCAAGATTAAAATCTTCCTATCAATATCGAAACAACATCATATAAGAGCATAACTATAGAGTTTTCTCTATTATATAGACGCGCTTAGATATTTGACAATTCCAGGTACGTTATACAAAAAGAGTACTCGAACTTCGACATACAAACATGAAAACTTTAATATTCCATTACTTTACAGATTTTTTTTTAAAATTTTCAAAACTTAATATTGTCTTAAATATTCTATAATACTTATGTGTCACATGAATTTGAACGGAAAAAATATTACATTAATATCTAAGATATCTTAGAACCGTAAACCACTCAAATATAAAGAAGGGTTGAATATCGGTTTCGGTGAATTAGAACCGTAACTCAGTACTTCACGCAAATCTTAGAACCGCAAATTACTTGGCACAATCTCTCCATACATGACTAGTAAAGTAGAAAAACGAGATGGTGAAATATTATCAAAAACTATGGAAGAGGTGTTATAAACTCAAATCTGGTACTTGTAACTTCTTACATGTTATAAATATATTATATTGCGGATGTCCACTTATTATTCCGTTGTAAATAAGTTTCATGAAAAATCTTATCCATATTGGACTCCGCCGTAAATATATTTATCTATTTAATACTACGTTGGAAATAAGTCTCCTGAAGAAACTTATCATTTCAGTACTCTGTTCACTACTAGAAATCCGAAAAAATTCGACCGAGACATACCGACCAACATTGGTCAGTCAACAAAAGCGACCAAAAAATCGTTCAAAGCAGACGAAAACTACCAAAAAGACATTTTATATTTTATTTAAATTACATACCAACCGAAATCGGTCGGTATATTGGTCAAATATTTGATCGCAATGGTCAGACTTGCTTAGTCAAAGCACTTTTTTTGATTACCAACCAACATTGATCGGTAATGTGGACCCATAATTTTAAATTTTAACAATTATATTATTATTTAAAATATTTTATTAAATTTATAGTTGGATTTACCGACCAAAGTCGGTCGGTTATTACAAGAGAAGATTTTACCGACCAACTTTGGTCGATAGCTGTAATTTCTGGAATATAACTGACCAACTTCGGTCGGTTCATAGGTCAAACATGGTCACACTTTTGAACCACAGTAAAATTTACTATCTAAATAATATAAATATAATCCATTAACACTTTATTTTGTAATACAAATA